GCGGAGGCTGTGCCTCTTGCTGCGATGTACAGCATTGGCCAGAGCCATGCCCCACTGGGCGCCTGAGCCCAGAGCACCCCACCTGCTGCTGCTACCACTATCTGCTGGGGCTGCACACCATGGGGGGAGTGTGTGGGGGTTCCCACAGCCCCCACTCTCTCCCTCACACCCACATGCTGCCCACCACAGCTTTGCACTGCCACCTGCCACAAGCTCCAGCCCCACACTCTGTGCTCCCTGTCCCTGCTGCTTCCCTCCCTGCTTCCCAGAACCAGGAGGAGACCAGGAAAGTGGAACAGGTCCCTGGGGGCTGCAGCAGTGGCAGCAGCAGCCCTGCACAGAAGCTGCATGCTAGCTAGCTAGGCCCTCTTCCCCCACAAGAGTGGGAGCCAGATAATAGGGTACATTTTTGGGGCTGTGTGTATGTGTGGGTGCTTTGCTTCCACACTCATGGGTGGAAGGGCTAGACAGGGCACAATTTGTTGGGGGGCCCCATGGGTCAGATGAAAGTGCTTGGCAGGCCAGATGTGGCCCATGGGAGGCCACATTTTGCCCACCCCTGTGCTAAACAAATTCACATAAGAAACAAGGCCTAAAGTTTTAAGTGAAGGAGGGGTTCTCCTTCCCTGCCTGCTCCCCTGGGACAACACTGGCAGCACTGAAAGTACATCCGGGGAGAGGGGTAGGAGGGGGCAAGCAGTGATCTGAGGTGTTGGGGGGGATTGGGGGATTACATGCTCTGTTTTTAGAGGGATGAGGGGGGCAATGGGTTGATCAGGGCTTGTTGGGGACAGGGATGGGGTGGGGGTAGGGGGGCGGTGACTCAATTGGGGAGTCTGGGGCAGTGGGTTCTATCTAGGTCAGCAGGGGGAGCAGGTGGGTGTTGTAGATACTAATGTGTACTCTAGAGTGGCCACACATTAGTGTAACATGAGCTAATATTAGCATAACATTAGTGTAACATAGTTAACACAGATCAGAGGTAAAGCTGTCCCTGAAGTGGAGTAACTTTAAGCCACCTATAGGGTACTTAAAATTAGTTTCACATGTTAATGGGTGGATTATCCAGGGTTAAGAGCTCCGGGGGCCACCTAAAATTAACATGTAACAAGGCCCACAGGTAAATTAAGCCCTGCCCAGAATCTGGGATGGGTGGGAGAGCTTCTTTTGTTTGGGCTAGAAGCATTTTAGTTATGAATGCTTCTGCAAAATATTTTGATTTTGACAAATGGTTATTTTTCCAATGTAAACCTGTTTCATTAGAAAAGTAGTAACCATTTCTAATATTAAAATTATCTGTGAGGTGGTAGAGCATTGTGAATTTATTTATGAAAAAGGTTAAACAAATAAAAAAGAAAAACAGAACAATTAAGTCCTACAATTTGAAATCTGGCTTCTAGTTTGAGATATAGACCCTAGATATCTTGCCTACTTCTACAGACAAGCCAGGCTTTCTCTTCATCAAATATTTTTTTTTTTTTTGTTTCATCTGTAAAATTGAATGGCACAGTCCTTAGTTGGTATAAACCAACATAACCCATAACCACAACTTTAATGTCAAATTGTTCCAGTATTTTTCAATTAGTATTTATTTTGCTATCTTAAATATCTCTGTCAGTTTCTAAATGATCTTTATATGTGATTGCCTACTTATTTGAATAATTAGTTACATAAACATAAATCAATCTTTTTATATGAAAATCAAACTATAGAGCAACCCAGAATCATTTCTATTTAAGATTCCAAAACTGTAACTATTGTAATGCATATTAGTGAACATACATCTCTTAATATTCTGGAGAAATGCATGGGCACAGATCACAAAACTGCATGTGGGATTGGTGATTAGATGGGTAACAAAGAAACAGAATATTATCCACAGGCCAGGGATAATATAGGCAAAGATACAAAAAAAAGTTCACTAATGCATGCCTTCAGATTTTAGCTTACATTCTGAAATGGGAATATAACTTGACATATAAATAGCTTTGTTATCTTTCAGAAACATTTATTTTTAACTCATGATTTGTTAGTGTTCATTGCGTGAATCTGGAGCAACTACTGTAGTAAGGGTTATAAAACCCATCTCTGCTCAGAGAACACAACTTTAAAAAAATAAGTATCCTTTCCACCACCAAGATAGATTTTCTTAGTAAGACAACTATTTGCCATTCCTTTGCCCAGCCGCTGTTTTCTGCCTCTGTGGTATCTGTTATTGAAGCATCCCATTTGCAGCCATAAAAGTTGGTTAGCAGTTCAACCTTCTGGATTTGCTTAGTATTGCTCAATAGCAGGACCATGTTAAAAATTGCCTTGGCCACAGACTAATAGCTGCAACCTGAATCTTGTCTGCATAGGAGATGTGGAGTAGGAATAAAGGAAGAAAAGTTTGAAGTACAAAAATTCACTGAGGGAATAGGAATGATATGATTCTGAAGTCTTTTGCTGAAAATAAAGCATATTACCTTTGTATACAAGAAGTATGTATATCACCTAGTATGAGTATAGTTCTGCTGATTGCTGTATGGGATGTGGAGCTGCCAGTGTTTGTGATTGTTTCTAGCTAATAAACAAAGGGCACATTGACATGAGATGCTGACTGTGCAGCAGGGGTGTGCAAAACAGGCCGTATTCGATTCAGATTCGGATGCAGCCCAATTCATTGATTCAGATCACTGTCCCGATTCAATGCTGATTCAGAGAATCAGCGATTTGGCCATAGACACAGCTTTAAATACTTTTTCTACATACCGTGAGGTACCAGGTGCAGCTTGTGAACACTGTGATGGTGGGGCAGATGGAGCATCCCATAGGAGCTCAGGGGGCCCCCCACATGCTTGGCAGTGAACCCGGAAGTGTATTAGAAGTGCTTCCAGTCCACTTCCGGGTCTGCCGCTGAGTGCACAGGGGGCCCCCTTGTGCCCAGGAGGCACCAGTAGTCACGCAGGGGGGCCCCCTGTGCGCTCCCCGGCAGACCTGGAAGTGGACCAGAAGTGCTTCTGGTCTACTTCCTGGTCTGCTGCTGAGCACGCTGGGGACCCCCCCCCCCATGCTCCTGTGGGATGCTCCATCCACCCCACCGTCTTAGCATTCACAAGCTGCCTGGTACCTGGAGATATGTAGAAAAAACATGTCCAAATCGTCGAATCTTTCCGAATCTCTTCGAATCAATTAGGAGGGTTCCGATTTGATTCGGAGGGATTAAAAGGTCTCTTGATTCAATTCGGATTTGGAGATTCGACCACCAAATCAGGCCAAATCTCTGCCAAATTGAATTGGGGATTGAAGCTTTGCACAGCCCTATTGTGCAGTGTCCAAATATTACTATGCAGTAGCACATCACGCACTAACAGTGCTAATATGCTACTGCACAGTAGTATTAGGCTACTGCGTAGTAGTGTCACTTAAAAGATATTTGCCAGCGCTACAAGTACTAAATAAATGCACAGTAACCACTGCATAGTAGCGTCTCGTAGACGCATAGACGTGGCTAAAGAGATTATAAACTATAAGGGTATTGACAGGCATGGCTAATGTGTTCTTTACCTCAAGTGGGAGAGCCCTGTGGTTTTTAGCACCAAAGGGTGAGTATTCACGTACTAAGTCGACTTAAAGTAAAGTAACTTAACTAAGTTGACTTAACCCACATCAGAGCATGCACACGTACAGTTCCTGACATGCTGATAGCTCTCTTGTGAGCTAAGTCAACTTAACTAATGTGACTTGTGCCACATATAGGTTGTCTCTGGTCCATGCATACACTCCATGTGTACACTTACATGTGTAAGTCAGCTTAACTGTGAGAAAGTTTATAAGTGTATATGCACCCATAAATGCCAAATTCTACAATGCCAAAGACAGGACATTTGCAGTCTATCTTTTGGTAGTGTCTATACAAGAGATGGCTAAATTATTTGTTGAGACATTTAAAAAAAAACAAAAATATTTTTTCAGTTGACATGCAAAATGTTACTAAAAAAATTTTTCATTTCTAACGAAATTTTGTCCTTCAAATGAAAAATTGAAAATCTTTCAGTAAATATTTTTAGTTTTCATTAACTTTGGAGTTATTTCAGACTTAGAGTGTCATCCTAACACTGAAAAATTTCAGAGGAAACAGTATGAAAAATATGAACCATGAATGCATGTGAACCATTGTTGGTATGTAAGGTACAGTTTGTTTCTTCACTGATGACTGCTTGTATCTATCTATCTATCCACTCTATATTACTAAGAAATAATGCTACACGTTGAAATTAACTAATAATAATTCATGCAATAAATGCCAAAGCAGTTAATAGTGATTAACCACTTGTATTAAATGTCACTATATTTGAGTTAGAAAATAATCTCTGGCATCTATTTTGCTTGAGAAGACTCACCATGCCCACAGAAACATTTCTAGTGAATACTCAAAGTTTAGCAATTAGCATAGGTCAGAAGGCCAGGAACAGAACAGACAGCACTAGCAGTTAAGGTTTTTTGTTTATGGTTTTCACTGAAGACATGTGCTTCCTCAATCTGTTTCTTTCTTGAAATCAAGATTAGAATCAACATACAAAAGATCATTCCTAGCTCCTGGAGTAAGAAAACAGAGTAGAAAAACTTTTTTTCACATTTGGGTACTAAAAGGTAAAACTAAGGTTAAATTTTTGTAATTTTCCTTGTTCTTTTTGAAGATCTGTGGTATTAAAAGGGGTTCTACTTATTAACAAGTTGCTTTTCAACTGTCAGTTTTGAAAAAGCCTGCAGCATTGATGGAGGCTCTCTTACCTGGTTTTCTCTTTAAGTATACATATATACATACAAATACCATAGAGGAAAAACAGAGGCAATAGAAGGCAGTTTCTGATATTTCAGATGATATAAAATATGTTAAAGCTTTACTAGTGCAGTTGAAAAGGAGGTGAAGATATAAACATTCCCCAGGGGCAGTATGTCACTGATTTATTTTTACGTCTCTAAAAATCAAATTGAAATTGTTCCCATTTGGTTTTTTGCAGGCCCTGTCATTGTATGAGCCCCATAACCTCTCACGGGACTGAAGGAAAAAGAACGGTAAGGTCACTGCTGCATATAGCAGCTCAATGCATCTAACCATAAAACTATTGAAATTCTGTTCTCTTTTTCCAGCATGACTGTGGAGTGGAGGAAGGACATAAACACACAGTTGCTAAACTTGTAATAAGATTCAGTAGTTCTGATCAACGTAAATTATTTATCACTTGCTGCCCATTTTATAGGCTTGATGGTATTTAGAATTATATTACCCAGCATCATAATGCTGCTTTCACTACACTTGCCAGTACAGAATACTAGTTGCCGAAGAGAAAAAAGAAGAAAGCACAGCACCTGACTGACAGGATACTGAACAGATGGACAGATGAACTGATTGCATAATTTAATCTTGGTCACTTACTGCATAGTGGCCTTTATGAAGAAAGAAACGCATTAGTTTTTTTCTCAAGGATGTAAGCAAAGTGACATTAATCTGACATGATTGAGATATCAGTTTGATTGGTTAGCAGGGATGAAGCAACTTTAACCAAAAGGGCAGTGCAGCTTGAGATATGTTGGTTGTTAGTCTTCAGTTACAACCTGATGTAGAAGCCCTGAAGTGGTGCAAATCAGACACTACCCATTAAGTGGTCTTCAGGGAGGCAGGGAGAGAAATATGAGTGAATGCTAGTGGCCTAGAGATCAGTGTAGGTGTCCTGTTGCAGATACTATCTAAAACACCTTCACTTCTGACTCTTGCTGCATGATGACTGTGTCCCCAGAGGTGTGCAGTATTTTGCTGGGGTCAATTTCAAAGATACTTTGAGATTAGGAAATGCCATTTTGCTTAATATCTCAGCATGTTTGACATCCTCAGTACAGTATGAACAAATATTTATGAACAGGTTATCTGGGCATAAGTAGTGGTGCAATCTAGCTTTGAAAGTGTTTGTGACCTCTGAGACATCTAGTCTCCTAAAATGTAGGGTTTTACTTCAATTTTGCCTTTATGCTAGCACAAGTTCCCTAGGGGTATCCATTCTGGCAGTCTTTCTAAATCCACCCCCTTACACACACACACACTTGTGCCATCCTAATTATGCTACTGCTGTGATAGATCATTTTAATAATTGCATGTATCAGAGACTCTTTGTAGTGAAAATGTAGTCCAGGAGTGGTGCTGGAGAGTAAAATCAATGAAGTTCCTTTCTACCACATTATTCTGTCAGCAAAAGATTTGTTCCACATGGTGACTATGGGTTGAAATAGGATGTGGGCCCTCCAGTACAGCATTTGAGCCAATTCACTTGTGGTTGGATGGAGCTGAACTGCCAGGGATTCTTTCTACTCATACCCATGGAGTTCTACTCTCCATTCTGGGAGCCCGTAATACAAGGGAGTACAGAAAAGGCCCGACAGTCTAGCATAGCCAGTTTCTGCAGTCAACAGAACACAAGGAGCAATGTGGCAAATGTATTCAGCCACTTTCAACTCCCCCAAGTGACCCATTTACAGCTGGGTCAACTGGAAAGACTTTTGGTATAAATCTAATTAAGGCTCAAACTCACATCTCTGGAACTGTAGCAGATGCCTTCACTGCTCTGGCATGGCACCCCTTGGGAGAGGAGGGGACCAAGCAAAAGTTAATTGTGCCAGGACTGCATATGGGGTTTTTTTGATAAATGAATTTCAGTTTGCTGCAGGAGTTGATCTGCAGCTCCATTGCCAAGCCCAAGCCTTCAGTGGTCATGCATTGGGCTCCCCATAATGTGAGATTTGCAAAAAAATATTAAATCGTTGGTTCTCTTAATTTGCCTGCTGGTTTGAGCCATTAGGGGACCCCAGATTATGCTTGCCAACTTTTACCTAACCATCCATGAGGACTTAAAACTTGTTTTGATAAAAGGTGAGAGTGCCATTATTACCTGACCTTCAGGAGCTGAAGCACTAACAAACAGCAACAAAATGTTGTGGGGCTTATGATATTTCAGAAGGAATGCTGAGCATTAGGTACAGGATGCACTTTTCAAAGGCTCCTGGACCTCCTACAAACTGCCTTTACCAACTGGGACCTGCCCCATTATAACTGCAATTCTCCCTCTTTAAGGTTCCATCCTGCACCAGTCATGACCAAAACCATCAAGATACTCTCTCTCCCAGGTGCTCCACATGTATAATGCTGGGGGTTGGGATGGTCTGTTCTTTAAGCAGGAGTGCCTGGGAGCTGCTGGAGCAGTGTAGCCTTGTATTGGCTTCACCACTCTCAAAAGCTGGGGTAAGAGGCATGTCTGCAGTAGCAAAATGAACACTGTTGACCACAGAGCCTGGCTCTTCCATCTTCTCTGGAAGGGTAAATAGATGCTAGGGTGTAGGTAATGGAACAACTCTTCCTCAGCGCACTGAATCGCTTGGTCCTTTGCCAAGTAGATGTTAAGGGTTATAACACTGGAATGAGTATGTTTTATTAATTAATTTACTTACTTATTTGATTTATATGCCACTCTCCCCCCAAATAAGGCTCAGGGTCTCTTATAAGAACAGCAAGATATGTCCTAAAAGTAGATTAAATATTTAAAAAAAATAGTAAATGATAAAAGAGTTCCTCAAACAATGCCTCAGCATTTAATCCTACCTGCTAAAATGCTGTCCAAATGAGAAGGTCTTACACTGCTTCTGAATGATGTTCAGGCTCAGCCTTTGACAGGCTTCAAAAGGAAGGAAGCACCAAAGCTGAGGAACAACTTCCATAGATTTCATAGACATTTGGGCTGGAAGGGACCCTGGAGGATCATCGAGTCCAGCCCCCTGCCCCAGGGGCAGGAAGTCAGCAGGGATCATAGGATCCCAGCAAGATAAACATCCAAATGTGTCTTGAAGGCATTCAAAGTGGGTGCTTGAAACGCCTCCGGCGGCAGTGTATTCCAAACCTTGGGGGCTCGGACAGTGAACAAGTTTTTTCTTATGTCCAGCCTGAATCGGTCACAGTGGAGTTTGTGACCGTTCGATCTTGTCATCCCTTGGGGGGCTCTGGTGAACAGATGTTCCGCCAGATCCTAATGAGCACCCCTGATAACCTTGTAGGTGGCCACCAGATCACCCCTGAGCCTGTGCTTTTCCAGGCTGAATAGCCCCATGGCTCTCAGCCTCTCATCATAAGGTCTGTTTTCCTGACCTCTGATCATGTGCATGGCTCTCCTCTGCACCCTCTCAAGCTTCTCCACATCCGTTTTGAATTGTGGAGCCCAAAACTGGACGCAGTACTCCAGCTGCGGCCTCACCAAGGCCAAGTACAGCGGGAGAATGACGTCCCGGGATTTGCTTGAGAGGCATCTATGGATGCAAGCCGGTGTTTTGCTCGCTTTACTAGCTGCAGCATCACACTGAAGGCTCATGTTCATCTTGTGGTCAACCATGACCCCCAAGTCCCTTTCATCCGTAGTGCTAACCAGTGTAGCACTACTGAGCCTATAAGCATGCTACAGGTTTTTTCTCCCAAGGTGGAGAACCTTGCATTTTTCGGTGTTGAACACCATCAGGTTCTCATCCGCCCATTTCATGAGTCTGTCCAGATCCACCTGAATCACCCTCCTATCCTCAGGTGTGGATGCTTTACCCCAGAGTTTCAAGAACAATTTACTACAGTTTTTCCACCAAATGAACTCAGTGCACTGATGGTTCTTGCAAGAGGCTAGTAAGGGTAAAAAGGTCTTAGCTGACCTTTAGGGACTGTGATTGTGATGGAATATAACGAAGGGGGGGACAGTCCTTTAGATAGGTAGGGCTCAGGACTTAGGACTTTATAGGTCAAAACCAGCCACTTGAATTGTGCCTGGAAAGCTCCTGGAAGTCAGTTTAGCCTCTGGAGCACCAAAGTAACATGTTCCTGGTGACACATTGCTGGCAGAAGGTAGACTTACAGTAGTCTGCACCAGCTGTAAATTCTGGAGAGTCCCCATGTAGAGCACATTGCAGCAGACCAGCCTCAAAGTTACAAAAGTATGGATGATAGTGGTCAGATCCAAATTTGAAAGGAAGGGCCACAGACTTCTCACCAGATGATGACAGATGAATCCTAGCCATTGCAGCAACCTAAAAATCCAGGCTCAGAAGATCATCCAGGAGTATTCCAGGGCTGTGAACCTCCGTGACAAGGGGAAGCTAAACCCCACTGACAAGGGTCTCTAGCCCTGTTCACACCAAGTCACGAGGTACAGGTTTGTCTGGATTCAGCTTCAGTTGGTTCACTCACATCCAGTCCCCAAATAGGTACTGTATAAGGGCTAAAACTGCAGGGCCTAGGTTGGATTAAAAGGAGTGATAGAGCTGGATGTCATCAGTATACTGATGGCACATCACTCAAAATCTCTGCATACGCTCTCCCAGCAGGCTCGGATACATGTTGAACAAGAGGGGTAAAAGGATGGGATTTGAGGGTTCCCACAGGACCCCTTTTGGTTCTGAGAGGATGACGAGCATTTGCTCATCACCAACCTCTGGGGCTTCTCTGATAGGAAGGAGCAGAACAAATTTAACAGCAGTCCCATGAATACTCACCAGGTCACAAATTAATTAACAGCATCTTGATCAACTGTATTGGAGGCCTCTGAAAGCTATAATAGGATCACTTGCAGCCCTTGTCACAGGTGCAACTCTGAAGTGTCAACCAAGAGCCATGGCACTCACCCAAATGTAGATGAACTATATTTTCCAGCTTGTCACCAAAACACGACTGTGTGTTTGTCTCCTGCTTCATACTAAGCCTGTTTGGCCTACCTCTTAAGAAGTATACTCTTTGATTTCCTTGCTGCTTGTGCATCATGGCAGTAAAGGTTTCTGTGCAACAAAATGTCAACATGTTCCAGTCTGTTGTGTAAAGGTTTTTTTTTTTTTAACAAAGCCTTTCTTCTGTTCTTGGAGCTTTTGTTGGAACTTATTTGCATAATCAGATCCTGAAGCTACATCCCCAAATGGGCATTTCTGTTCGTGAATTGTGTACCTATCTGATTAGTGCACACACATATCTACACTAAATGTACAAAAATCATGATCACTGAAAAATG